GATGATACTTTGGTCAAAATGACATATCCTGACCTGGTCAGAGAGTGTGATTATATGTTTGAAAAAGTTGATTCTAGGGGCGCCTGGGTGGCTCAGTCGTTAAGCATCTGCCTTCGGCTCAGGTCATGATCCCAGGGTCCTGGGATCGAGTTCCGCATCGGGTTCCCTGCTCTGCGGGAAGCCTGCTTCTCCCTCTCCCACTCCCCCTGCTTGTGTTCCCTCTCTCGCTGTGTCTCTCTCTGTCAAATAAATAAATAAAATCTAAAAAAAAAAAAAAGAAAGAAAAAAAGAGAAAAAGTTGATTCTATATTCATGTGATATTATAGGAAATGCCTTTGCCATTAAAATAATAATATTAGGATGTAAAAATCAGATTGGCAATTGCTTAGGGTAGAAAGTAGGGGAAACTCACTGCACAAGGGTCTGAGGTAACAGAAATGTTCTGTATTTTGGTTGGGATGGAATTAAAAGAGTGTATATATTTGTAAAATAAATAAATAAATTGATTCTATGTAATTCTTGTATTTTTAAAAAAGATTTTATATATGTATGTATGTATGTATTTATTTATTTGAGAGAGAGAGAGTGCAAATGGGGGGAGGAGCAGAGGGAGAAGGACAAATAGACTCTGCACTGAGCATGGAGTGCGACATGGGGTTTGATCCCATAACCCTGAGATCATGACCTGAGCCAAAATTAAGAGTCAGACGCTTAACCGACTGAGCCACCCAAGAGCCCCTGTGTAATTCCTGTATTTAAAAAAAACCCCACAAATGTAATAATTCCAAATGTAATAATTCCACCTGGGCAGCTTGCAATTTGTACAACAAACGTCAACAGCATGCAGTGGAAAGGAAGGGCTCTCAGTGTTAGCTGACGTGAGATGTGCAGTCCAGGGTCATCAGGACTTCTTGGTAGCATTCAGCCCACCAAGGCCCTGCATCCTAACATGGTGAGAGACTAGACTTTTGCCCTGGATCACATCGAAGGGTTGGGGCATGCCCTACAAATATCCCCAACTTCTTCCAATCACTGACCCCGGGGCTGGCATCTATGGGTTTATTGAAAACTGTCCTGTGCTTTCAGCCTATGCCATCTTCAGGGGTGTAAGTCTCATGGGTTTACTACCTACATGTAAAGCAGCTTTTATTGTTCACGCCGACATGATTCTGGAGCAGCCAAACTGGCGCTGTTCGGGGAACGAGCCATTGTTCACCCTATCTGTGCTTGGTAAGATCTTTTAAACTTTGATCTTTTCTCTCCTTGGAATTTATCTTTTCAGACTTAGGGTCTTAGCTCTTCTAATGCTGCTTTCTAATTGTAGAGTTAGAATGTATCATATAAGTAATTTTTTTTTGCTATTTTATTTTAAAAAATTTTTATTGTTATGTTAATCACCATACATCATTAGTTTTTGATGTAGTGTTCCATGATTCGTTGTTTGTGCATAACACCCAGTGCTCCATGCAGAACGTGCCCTCTTTAATACCCACCACCAGGCTAACCCATTCCCCCACACTCCTTCCCTCTAGAACTCTCAGTTTGTTTCTCAGAGTCCATAGTCTCTCATGGTTCATCTCCCCCTCCAATTTCCCCCCCTTCATTTTTCCCTTCCTGCTTTCTGCTTCTTCTTCTTCTTTTTTTTTTTTTAACATATAATGTATTATTTGTTTCAGAGGTACAGGGCTGTGATTCAACAGTCTTACACAATTCACAGCGCTCACCATAGCACATGCCACCCCATCCCTCCCACCCCCCACCACTCCAGCAACCCTCAGTTTGTTTCCTGAGATTAAGAATTCCTCATGTCAGTGAGATCATATGATACTGTCTTTCTCTGATTGATTTATTTCACTTAGCATAATTCCCTCTAGTTCCATCCACGTCATTGCAAATCGCAAGATTTTGTTGTTTTGATGGCTGTATAATATTCCATTGTATATATACACCACATCTTCTTTATCCATTCCTCTGTTGGTGGACATCTTGGCTCCTTCCATAGTTTGGCTATTGTGGACACTGCTGCTATAAACATCGGGATGCACATACCCCTTCAGATCACTACATTTGTATCTTTGTGGTGAATACCCAGTAGTGTAATTGCTGGGTCGTAAGGTAGCTGTATTTTCAACTTTTTGAAGAAACTCCAGACTGTTTTCCAGAGTGGCTGCACCAGCTTGCATTCCCACCAACAGTGTAGGAGGGTTCCCCTTTCTCTGCATCCTCGCCAACATCTGTCATTTCCTGACCTGTTAATTTTAGCCATTCTGACTGGTGTGAAGTGGTATCTCATTGAGGTTTTGATTTGTATTTCCCTGCTGCTGAGTGATGTTGAGCACTTTTTCATGTGTCTGTTGGCCATTTGGATGTCTTCTTTGGAAAAATGTCTGTTCCTGTCCTCTGCGCATTTCTTGATTGGATTATTTGTTCTTTAGGTGTTGAGTTTGGTAAGTTCTTTATAGATTTTGGATACTAGCCCTTTATCTGATATGCCATTTGCAAATATCTTCTCCCATTCTGTCGGTTGTCTTTTGGTTTTGTTGACTATTTCCTTTGCTGTGCAGAAGCTTTTTATCTTGATGAAGTCCCAATAGTTCATTTTTGCCCTTGCTTCCCTTGCCTTTGGCGATGTTTCTAGGAAGAAGCTGCTGCGGCTGAGGTCGAAGAGGTTGCTGCCTGTGTTCTCCTCTAGGATTTTGATGGATTCCTGTCTCACATTTAGGTCTTTCATCCATTTTGAGTCTATTTTTGTGTGTGGTGTAAGGAAATAGTCCAGTTTCATTCTTCTGCACATACAAGTAATTTGATTCCTTCATTTGTTCATTCGCATGGTATTCACTTTCATCTCCTCCAAATCTTTGCTCAAATGTTACATCCTCAATGTGGCCTGCCCTAATTACTCTATTTAAAATTGAAACACCTGCTTCTCCTGTACCCCCTATTGTCCTGACCGTGCTCCATTTTCTCATATTACTTGGCACCTTCTAACATAATATATGCTTTTCTTATTTACTATGTATGTTCTTTAAGATTTTATTTATTTATTTATTTGACAGAGACAGAGAGAGAGAGGGAGAGAAAGAGGGAGCACTAACAGGGGTAGAGGGAGAGGGAGAAGCAGACTCCCCGCTGAGCAGGGAGCCTGATGTAGGGCTTGATCCCAGAACCTTAGGATCATGACCTGAGCCAAAGGCAGATGCTTAACCGACTGAGCCACCCAAGCACCCCTTGTATGTTCTTTATTGTACATCTCCCTCCCTGGGGATGTAAGCTCCATTTTGTTTACTGAATTGCTAATGTGTCCCAAGAATCTAGAACAGTGCCTGGTGCACGGTAGGCCCTCTGTAAATACAGTATTTGTTGAAAGAATAAATGATGTAAGCTCCTGCCATGTATACAACACACATAAGGGCTAAGCATGTTGGGCCTCCAAAGATGAATCTGCTGGGAGTTCCACCCTCAAAGGGCCCATGGTCTAGCCTCAGATTTGCGACATGGAATTATTAACCACAATACAAGATAAAAACTGCAGTACCGAAAAAGAGCTGTGAAGTTAGAGGAGGAGGAAGAAAAAGCTTTCAGTCATGGAAGAGCTGAGGGAAGGCATGAGCAGAGGAGTCAGAGAGACTGGAATTGAATGCTGAATTCTAGTGAATGAGGTTGGCTTGCTATAAGCTCCTTACCCACAAATTGGGGGTAAAAATATTTATCTTAGTGTGACTGTGAGGGTCAAATAAGATAATGCCCGTACATAGCCTGTGGTGGATAGCGCCTGGTACCAGTTCATGAAGAACTGAGATCAATCCTCTGCTTCCTCTGGAGTGTCCCTCAATGGGAGAGCAGAAACAATGACCTATAATGGAATTTTATAAGTCATTTAAATGACAGTTACCAGGACTATGTAACAGCCCAGACAACAGTTTGTGACTGGCATCAAGTGCAAAAAGACAGACTACAGAACTGTCCGTGATTATAACTGGGTAAAAATAATTCAAAATTAAATCCATTCTTGGGCTCGCTGGGTGGGAATGAGAATTAATTTACCTAAATCTGCTCCTCTGATCTTTATATTTCCACTTTTTTTGTCACCATTTAATTTTTTTTTAAAGATTTTATTTATTTATTTGACAGAGAGCGAGAGAGCACAAGCAGGGAGAGTGGCAGGCAGAGGGAGATGCAAGCTTCAGCTGAGCAGGGAGCCTGATGCAGGACTTGATCCCAGGACCCTGGGATCATGACCTGAGCTGAAGGCAGACACCTAACCAACTGAGCCACCCAGGCGCCCGTCATCATTTAATTTTGATACCATTTCAAACTTACAGAAAAGTTGCATATATGAGGAAGTTCCAAAAACCTTTTATCCGGATTCACCAATTATTTGCATGTGTGCTTTCTCTCCCTCCTAAAGTCATTCTGGGGTACCTGGGTGGCTCAGTCAGTTAAGCATCTCATCCGCCTTTGGCTCAGGTCCTGATCCCGGCGTCCTGGGATCGAGCCCAGCATTGGCCTCTCTGCTCAGGGGGGAGCCTGCTTCTCCCTCTCCCTCTCTGCCACTCCCCCTGCTTGTGCTCTCTCTCTCTCTCTCTGTCAAATAAATAAATAAATAAATAAATAAATAAATAAATAAATAAATAAATAAAATCTTAAAAATAAAAGAATACAGTCATTCTCTCACATAACCACAGAATAGATTTCCTACTGTTTTTCTTTTTTCTTTCTTTTTTTTTTTTTAAATTTTATTTATTTATTTTGACAGAGAGAGACACAGCAAGAGAGGGAACACAAGCAGGGGGAGGAGGAGTGGGAGAGGGAGAAGCAGGCTTCCCGCAGAGCAGGGAGCCCGATGCGGGGCTTGATCCCAGGACCCTGGGACCACGACCCGAGCCGAAGGCAGACGCTTAACGACTGAGCCACCCAGGCGCCCCCCTACTGTTTTTCAAATAAAAAAGCCGAGAGATGGTACCTTCCGGAGATCCTGGACCACATTTTCACCAGGCTCAGGTGCAAGTCTCTTCTCTGCGGTCTTTGGGCCTCTCACATCTGAAAACCCCAGCAAACTACCAGGTCAGTCATGCTGCCAGTGGGCAAGGCCCCCTTCCCAGGTAAAAGGTGTGGTGTTTTGTGCCCCTCAGTCCAGGATGTGTGGGGGAGGGCCTGAGATGGCACCACCCAGAGGAACCTCCTGTTTGGGGACTGAAATCCTGAAGGTGTAGGGCCACAGGGGTTTTTGTGACGCCGGAAGTGTATCCCCTGGAGCTGAGCTTCCCTGGGAAACAAACGGACTCTCAAGGGAAAGACACTTAGCTGCCTGCTGGCTCCCCACTCAGAGTCTGCTGAAAATACTTCTTCAAACCCCTGAGTTCTGAGGACCAGTCTACAAGTGCTGGAGCCAGAAGTGGTTAAACAAGTCTGTCCTTGGAATTCCTAGGCTTAGAGCCATGGTAATACAAGGATTGCTTGAGGGATTGCACTGTTTGGAGGAATGAGGTCTATGCTGAGGGCCCTGGGCAGTAACTAAAGCAGCGGCCGCAGCAGCCAAGTGGGAGGATGTAAGAGGTCTCTCATTAGCTTATGAACAGGGTCTGCACACATATCGTCAGTTCATGAACTCCTCCACCATCACCAGGCTAACAGTCCTCTCCACTCCCTCCTCGATCCTTCTGAGTTACCAGACCCAGGGGGTTCCACTCTCCATACCTGTGGCCTCCACCTCATGTCCAAGCAGGACAAGCACAGGCAGAACAGATCGCACACCCTGCAGCCCATGCGAAGGAACCCAGCACCATTCCAGACCACACAACTGGTCTGCTTCTGGCCTTGAGACCCAGGTCGGTACCCAAGCCCTGGGGTTACTAGTGGCCTTACCCTTGCTGTTCTTTCCTTCACCCTCAGGCGCCCCTTCTTCCCTGGCTCTGTTACTTGTGACCTCTGTGATTTGGAGGAATCAGCCTCTCTGGGTGGGTTTCCTCATCTGTAAACAAGATAATGACATTTATCTTAGAAGGTGGTGGTAAGGGAGAAAAGAGACCCTGGGTGTAGAAATACACAGCTAATCTGAGCGAGTGTTTGTAATAGCTGAAGCTCACCCATGGGAACAGCTAGAGCTTGACCTCTCTTAATTTGTACCCTAGAAGTACCCTGTCCTGAGGGTCATAAGCTGCTCAGTTGGTATCAATGGCCGAGGCTGATTCCTACTGCCGGGGCGCCTGGGTGGCTCAGTCGGTTAAGCATCCCTCTTTGGCTCAGGTCATGATCCCAGGGTCTTGGGAGAAGGTTATTGCCCATCCTCACCTATCAGTTTGATAATATGACCTATAGACCACAAGGAGCAGAGTCCTCGCACACACTAGTGGTAAGAGAATAAATGGACACAAACTTGTTATCAGGGAACAACAACTAGAAATATTCAGCACATTCTCTTCAATTAAGCAATTCTCCTCATCAGAGCCCATCAGAAATATTCACAAATGTGCACAAGGTCAAATGACAAAGGCATTCATTGTAGCCTTATTTGTAATAGAAAAGTATATGGAGGCAATCTGAATGTCTAAAATTAGGGAACTAGAAACTGTGGAGTTACGTTGCTGCTGTGCTATGGGGTACCATGCAGCTGTTAAAAATAATGACAGATCCCAAAGCAATCTACAGATTCAATGCAGTCCCTATCAAAATTCCAATGGCATTTTTCATGGGAATAAAAAAAATCCTAAAATTTGTATGGAACCACAAAAGACCCCAAATAGCCAAAGAAATCTTGAGAAAGAAGAACAAAGCTGGAAGCATCACTCTCCCTGATTTTAAACTATGTTACAAAGTGATAGAAATCAAAACAGTCTGGTATTGGCAAAAAAACAGACACATAGCTCAGTGTAACAGAATAGAGAGTCCACAAATAAACCCATGCACGTACAGTCAATTAGCTTATGACAAAAGGAGCCAAGAATATGTAATGGGGAAAGGATAGTCTCTTCAATAAATGGTGTGGGGAAAACTGGACAGCCACATGCAAAAGAATGAAATTGGATCATTATCTTGCACCATATACAAAATCAACTCAAAATGGATTAAAGACTTGAACATAAGATCTGAAGCCAGAAAACTCCTGGAAGAAAACATAGGTGGTAAGCTCCTTGGCATCGGTCTTGGCAATGATTTTTTTAATATACACCAAAAGCAAAAGCAATAACGCAAAAATAGACAAGTGGGACTACATCAAACTAAAGGCTTCTGCACAGCAAAGGAAACCATCCACAAAATGAAAAAAAGGCAACCTACGGAATGGGAGAAAATATCTGCAAATCATGTATCTGGTAAGGGGTTAATATCCAAAATATATAAAGAAATACAACTTACTAGCAAATAATAAAACAATCTGATCATAAAATCAGCAGAGGAACTGAATAGACATTTTTCCAAAGAAGACATACAAATGCCTAGCAGGTACATGAAAAGTGAGCACCCAACAGGTGCTCGCTATCACTCATCATCAAGGAAATGCAAATCAAAACCACAATATGATATCTTACATCTGTTAGAATGGCTGTCATTCAAAAGACAAAAGATAACAAGTGCGGGCGAGGATGTGGAGCAAAGGGAACCCTTGCGCACTGTTGGTGGGAATGTAAATTGGCACAGACACTATGGAAAACAGTATGGAGGTTCCTCAAAAAATTAAAAATAGAACTACCATATGAACCAACAATTCCATTTCTGGGTATATATCCAAAGGAAACAGAATCACTATCTCAAAAAGATATCTACACCATCTATAGCCCCTTTTTCTTTTTAAGATTTATTTATTTATGAGAGAGAGAGAGAGAGTGGGGGAGGGGCAGAGGGAGAGGGAGAGAATCCTCAAGCAGACTCCCCGCTGAGGGCAGACCCTGATGCGGAGTTTGATCCCAGGACCTGAGCCAAAATCAAGAGTTGGACGCTTAACTGACTGAGCCACCCAGGCACCCCTACACCCCCATTTTCATTGCAATTTATTTACAATAGCCAAGACAAAGAAACAACCTAAATGTCCATCAACAGATGAATGGATAAAAAACTGTGGTATTTATCAATACAGTGGAATATTATTCAACCACAAAAAAGAAGGAAATCTTGCCATTTGCAACAACATGGATGGACCTGGAGGATATTATGCTAAGCGAAATAAGCCAGAAAGAAAGACAAAAACCGGATCATCTCACTTATATATGGAATTTAAAATAACAAACTCACAGAAATAGAGAACAGATTGGTGGTTGCCAGAGCCAGTGGGTAGGGAGTGGGGGAAATGGGGAAAGGGGGTCAAAGGGTACAAACGTCTGGTTATAAATAAATAAGTTCTGGGGATGTAAGGTACGGCATGGCGACTATAGTTAACAATACTGTGCTGTATATTTGAAAGTTGTTAAGAGGGTAAATCTTAAAAGTTCTCATCACCAAAAAAAGTAACAATGTGAAGTGATGGGTGTTAACTAAACAACATGGTAATCATTTCAGAACATATATCTATATCAAACCATTATGTTGTGTACTTTAAACATAATACCATGCTATATATCAATCATATATCAGTGAAACTGGAAAAAATAGAATTCCAATCTTGCTCCTACTTAAAACCCCACAATGACTTCCATGGCTCTTTGCATGACCTCCAATGTTCTAGGTGCTCAGGCCCTATCTTCTCTAGCCCTATCTTGCCCCCTGCATGCTATCTCCCAAACCCAACAAATTCCTTTTTGTATCAGCTATCACAAACACGTAGATCAAAAATAGTCGTACTAATCTAATACTTTTTACAGATCCACCATAGAAAGTAAAACTGAAAAATATGTTTTAACCCATTGGGGAGAAAGAGTCTATGACTTAAATTCATGACCCTGCTTTTGCCTAATTCCCAAGCCTTAGGAAATCTGTTCATTGCATCCCACCCAATAATGGTGATGGAAATAGCTAGAGGTACTTCGATCAATTCCATATTTATCAGAGCAGAAAATGCATTAAAGTGCTAAGTGTGCTAAAGTTTTACAATGATGGAAAAAATAATGACACATCATTATGTATTGACATGGAAAGATTTTATGCTTTAAAGCAAAAACTGCAAGTTGCAGAATTATTTTTCAGTGAGCTCAAAGTGCCTAGAATACAGTAGGTAATCAATAAATACTTGTTGAATTGAAAGAGTATGATCCCAGTCTGTTTAAAAGAAAAAAAATATTACCACCCCAACACACACTCAGAAACAAGTCCCTATGTTTTCCTATGTCTAAAAAAAGTTGTGGAAGGACAGTGGCCACTGTCAATGGTGTTTATCCCTGGGTCTGAGCAGCTTTAACTTTCCTCGGCTCTGGTCTGTAGAGCTCACATGATGGGAGGTGAGGTTGCAGTGGGCAGCCCGCCCACATACCACACAGCTCCCAGGAGTTGCTGGGGGGGTCTTTAGTTCTGCTCTCTCGGTGGGAAAGAACAGGAAAGCCCAGCCACTCCCAATCACTGCTCAAGGTAACTTACAGGGTCAGGCAAAAAAAGCTAAGGACAAGATGTGCAGTTATGTAGGACACTGTTTTATTTATACCTAAGGAGAGACACCAGAGCATGAACCCCCAGGGGCCCAGGTCTTGGGTGGGCCAGACATTGTGGGTGGGTGGCTTCTAAGGTTTGGAGAACCCATGCCCTGAGCAGGGGGTCACACTCCAGTAGCTGAATCCGGAGTCTCAGGTCTCTATGCTCAAAGCTTAGGGGAGAGACAAAGAGCCAGGCAGGGTAAGCCTGGACGACCGTGTGAAACTCCAGCAGCACCAGGGTGAGGTCAGAGGAACATCTGGGTCTGGGTTAGAGGTCACTGGAGAGCGTGAGGGTCAGTTTACAGGGGCCTGAACAGGCTGGGCGGGCCTCCCTGGGATTCTGGAAATGGGTACAAAACAGTATGGTGGCTTTGGAATATTCAGGAGGAATTTGTCTAAATTTAGGAGACATAATGTAGTTGAGGAGACTTTTAGAAGAAGGGCCACAGTTCATCTCCTATGTGCCAGGATGAGGTTTGTCTTCATCTGCTCAGGCTGCTATCACAAATTACAACAGACTGGGTGGCTTGAACAATAGCTATCTCTCCCAGTTTTGGAGGCTGGGCAGTCTGAGATCAGGTTGCTAGTATGGCTGAGGTCTTGGTGAGGGTCCTATTCCTGGTTTGTAGGCAGTCACCTTCTTGTCATGTCCTCACCTGGTGGTGGTGGTTGCGGGGAGGGGCAGTGAGCGCACTCTGGTCTCTTGGTCTTCTCACAAAGACACGAATTCCATCATGAGGGCCCCACCTTCACGACTTCACCTCAGCCCAAATGCCTAGCAAAGGCTCCACCTCCAAACACCATCCCATTGTGGGACCCACTTGAGGGGGTACACAAGCAGCCAGGCCATAACAAATGTGTGAGTGCAGTGGAGCTATCTTGACTGCTTACAAACTCCCAGGCCAGTCAAGCAAAGAGCATCCTGGGGCGACAGGTAAGGGCCAAGAGGTAAAGGTCAATTCCAATTCCGCCCAGGCACTCAGAGGCAAGGCAGATTCTAAGGGTTTCCCCACCATGCTCCACGGGATCAGGGCCCTTCAGAAGGTGAAGCCTAGAGGTAAGTGTAAGCAAGCCAAGACCCTGGCAGGGGACACCAAGAGGGACTTCTCAGGCCTTGAGGTCAGGATCGTAAGGGGGCTGAAAATCTGGAAGCCTGGGACGTCTCTGACTTATGAGCCAAGACTTAACTTGTAAAGCCCATCAAAGCTGTACTTTCATATACATTATCACACTGGATCCTCATAACAATACAGAGAGAGGCATTTACTAATTTATTGATTATACTTTATGGTCTTTCTAAGTTTTTAATGAAAACCCATTTCTAATATTCATTATGATAATCAGTGAAGTGCCTGAGACAGATAAGATATAGAGATACCTGAAGCTCTTGTAATAGCCAACTCTCGAGTGTGGACTT